ATTGGCCTCTAACCATGATCCCTCCTAGTTAGTTACAATTACAAACATAATAATTCTTTTTTTTTTTTTTGGTACAGGTATTGGGACTTGAATTCAAGGTTTCACACTACCCAGCATTTTGGGTGGTTCATTGGAGATGAATGTCACAGACATTTCTGCCCAGGCTGGCTTTGAACCATGATCTTCATGTCTCAGCCTCTTAAGTAGGTAGGATGACGGGCATGGGCCAGCACTACCCAGTTGGTAGGATTTATTTTTGCCTTACAGAAGGATAGGATGTTTATTACAAGGCCAGCCAAGAGGAAGTGACAGAAGGAGATCTCATCAAGTCTTTTCCTTTTCACTCTGAGGTAGTAGCACCTCTTTACCTTGGCTGTCCCCTCAGCACAACACGCCATTTTGGTTTTATGTTTTGTTTTGGTTTTGCTCCTCCTGGGGCTTGAAGTCAGAGTCTAGGTTCTGAGCTTCCCTGTGCTCAAGCCTAGCACTCTACCACTTGAGCCACAGCACCACTTCCAGCTTTTTCTGAGTAGTTCATTGAAGGTAAGATTCTCATGGACTTGTCTGCCCCAGCTGGCTTCAAACCATGGTCCTCAGATCTCAGCCTCCTGAATAGCTAGGATTATAGGTGTGAGCCACTGGAACCCGGTTCACACCCCGTTTTGTTTCCCACAGAACGATGTAGCTTCAAAAGAAATGCAAACTGACATTTCCCACTGGTACCCTTCCTGTTTCTCAGATGGACTCATAGGGTCTCAGGATTTAGGAAAATACAAAAATCTAACAGCATTCTTACTATAGGTCAGGACTTACTGGATAATTGAGTTTGATCTGTGTTTAATAGAGTTGACAGCCATTATGGCTAGGTCAAAAAAAAAAGAGCGGCAAACTTATCCAAGAATAAGAAATCACACTATGAGGTTTCCAGATGAGCCCAGTAAAGAGTTCCAAGCCAGTCTCAGGGGACATGGCGGAGCCTTCCCAGCTGTGTTGCTAAAGAAGCATAGACAAACTTGGGCTCTTTGTCCCTCTTGGCCCATGAACCTGGACCAAGGCCCTGCAATCAGATGAAATGTCTGGATCCTGCCCAAGTGCTTCTTGGCTTTGAGAAACAAAGCAGTTGGTTTTACAACAGAGTACTCGTTTGTTCTGAGGTGACGGAGTTCAGTATTTAGTGAGAAACTTCTTTTCTTTTTGGGTACCAGCCCTAGGGCTTGAACCCACGGTCTTAGGCTCTGTCCCTGAGCTTCTTTTGCTCAAAATTAGCACTCTACTATTTGAGTCACAGCTTCACTTCTGGCTTGGAGTTGAGGGAGGAGATTTATTGGAGATAAAAGTCCCACAGACTTTCCTGCCTGGCCTGGCTTTGAACCTGAATCCTCTGAACTCAGCTTTTTGAGTAGCAAGGATTACAGGTGTCAGCTACCTGCACCCAGCTTTAGTGAGAAGCTTTGAAATGTGAATCTTGATACAACTATCTTCATGAGCTTTGACCTGAAGATCCTCTGAGCTGGGCTTTCTATTAATGTACCATACGGTGCCCTAACATGTTTTAATCCAGGTGTAAATATTCCTGCAACTCTAAAAATTGAGTGTAGTCAAATCTTTGCTTCATTCAGAAACTAAAGAATCACACGTAAGAGATTCATTGTCTCTGAGCCAGAGTAAATACAAATCAATTCATTTCCAGGAAGGGTAGATAGGACACCAGAATTTATTCTCTCCCCACCAGATTGTTCAGTAAAGGGACTTTATTAAACATGTTAAGCTGCTAAGACACCAGGAGAGTAAGTATATGAGAAGACACAACTGTAACTCCGCTTTGGAAGTTTTAGTAGACAGACCTGAATCCTGAATTGACATTGGAGAAAGCCAAGACCAACCCAATTCATACCATAGAATCCCCAAAAGGAACTGGTCACTTTCCTGGAAGTCAGGGCCATGCTTGTAATGCATAAAGCAGGGTGTGTTTTGCTCTCATCCTGGTATAAGGCTACACAGACTGCAGAGTATGAAATACAGATCCCAGGTGAGCGCTGGTGGCTCATTCCTCAGGAGACTGAGATCTGAGGATCCTGGTTCAAAGCCAGCCTAAGCAGAAGAGTACATGAGACTCTTTAAATCCAAAGATCCACCAATAAAAACAAAAACAAACAAACAAACAAAAACAGAAGTACAAGTATAGCTCAAGTGGTAGAGTGAACAAGCTGAGGGATGGCACCCAGCCCCTGAGTTCAAGCCCCAATGCCAGTGGGCACGCGCACGTGCGCGTACACACACACACACACACACACATACACACACACAGAGATAGATCTCTGAGCTAGGCATGGTAATTCACACCTGTAACCACAGCATGCTAAAGGCTGAGCCAGGAGGAGGGCAAGTTTGAGGCTAGCTTGTGCTACATGAGGCCTTGTCTCAAACAAATGAAATCAGTCAACCATAGGTCTCTGAGTGAAAGATTAGGTCCAATTTGCTGGGAGGGGGAGGAGTAGTACTGGATGAAAACCAGGGTCTGGAGGCACACATTCATGCGAGGATATCCCCTGGTGGACGCCAGAGACACCTCTCCCATCCTCAGGAAGGGAGCAAGCAGGCCAAGATCTTGTGAGCAGGAACCAGATCTTCTCTGGGTGACCAAAAAGGCCAAATAAGGAGCAGACTAGAACCACTGGTAACGTGAGGGCTATGGAGTGGATGCCGACTGAAGCTGTTACCCATAAGTACGTGGGTGTATACCAGTCTCATATTAGCCTGATCCTCCCCTACGCTCAACTATAACAGACAAAAGGGGTCAAAGGGTCTCAAATCGAAATCATAGCCCAAGACAAAGGAACGGCAATCAATTTGTGTCATAGAGATCAATCAGCAAAATCTAGATTACAGAAAAATCTCTGGACAAATGGCCCCCGGTTTCTTCATGGGGAAAAGAAAAAAAAAAAAAAGAAATAGGGAACCTAAGAAGAGTGACACTGAGTGAGGATTTTCCTGCTGTACATTTTATGATTCATCTTAATCATATTTTGACAAAATATTTGCAGAAAGTCCTATCCAACCATTTCAGATGCAACTATTTAAAAATATACACAAGCCTAGGGCTGGTAGCTCACACCTGTAATCCTAGCTACTCAGGAGACTGGGATCTGAGGATCACAGCCTAGGCATGAAAGTCTGTGAGACTCTTTATTTCCTACTAACCATCAAAAAGCAGGAAGTACGGCTAGGAATGTGGCTTAGTGGTAGAGTGCTTGCCTAGCATGCATGAAGCCCTAAGTTCGATTCCTCGGCACCACATAAACAGAAAAGTCTGGAAAGTGGTGCTGTGGCTCAGGTGGTAGAGTGCTAGCCTTGAGCAAAAGAAGCTCAGGGACAGTGCTCTGAGTTGAAGTTCAGGCCCTGAGTTCAAGCCCTAGGACTGGCACAAAAAAAAAAAAATCCAGATTCGCCAGGTGCCGGTGCCTCATACCTATAATCCTAGCTACTCAGGGGGTTTAGATCTGAGTATCTCAGTTCAAAGCCAGCCCAGGCAGGAAAGTCCTGGAGACTCTTATCTCCAATAAACCACTAGAAAACCGGATGTGGTGTTGTGGCTCAAGTGATAGAGTGCTCACCTTGAACTGAAGAGCTCAGGGACAGTGCCCAGGCCCAGAGTTCAAAGCCCGAACTTGAGCTTGTGGCTCAAGTGGAAGAATGGCAGCCCTGAGTGGAAAAAAACAAGAGAAAGGGCAAAGCCCTGAGTTCAAGCCCAAGTACTGGCACACACACACAGGCACACATACACATATACACACTGTATATATAGAGAGAGACAGACAGACAGACAGAGACAGAGAGACAGAGACAGAGATACAAAGAGACAGAGAGAGACAGGGAGACAGATAGATAAATGAATAGATAACTAGATAGAGATAGAGATTGTCTCATTTTCTTTTCACTGCATTTCAAAGGAAAGGCATGTGCTAATTTTTCTCTCCAAAATGCTTAAGATTCCTCTGCTTCTTGAATATTTATTACCAACAAACCTATAATTACCTTTGGATATAGTACACATTCCCCAAATTCCAAAGTAGTGACTGAATCAAATGCTTCTTAATAGTTTGAGTAATTAGCTGAGATTTAAAGTGTTAGCTAGAATCATGAAAACAAAATAGCTGTCTTCAAATATTTTAAACCTTTCTACAAATGCTTACTTTTAATGTTTTTAACTAATAACATTTTCTCCTTTCTTTTTCTTGTAAGCAATAGTGTGTGTGTGTGTGTGTGTGTGTGTGTTGTGTCAGTCCTGGCACCTGAACTCAGGATCTGGGTGCCATCCTTGAGCTTTTGTGCTCAAGGCTAGTGCTCTATCATTTGAGCCATAGCTGTACTTTCAGCTTTTTAGGTACTTAATTAGAGAGGAGTGTCACAGACATTAATGTCCTTGCTGGCTTTGAACAACAATCCTCATATCTTGGCCTACTGAGTAGTTAGGGTGACAGGTGTGAACTACCAGGTATGAGCTTGGCCAGTAGTTGTTTTTTTTTGGTCCGGTCCTGGGGCCTGAACTCTGGACCTGGGCGCTGTCCCTCAGCTCTTCAGCTCAAGGCTAGCGCTCTACCACTTGAGCCACAGCGCCACTTCCGGCTTTTTTCTTTTTGCTTATGTGGTGCTGAGGAATCGAACCCAGGGCATGCAAGGCAAGTGCTCTACCACTGAGCCACCTTCCCAGCCCCGAGTAGTTGTTATTTTTGAAAGTCAATCAAACAATAAACATAAACATAGACTCTGGTTACTTAGCAGGTAGATAAGCAAGTAGATAGATGATAGATAAAAACTTGATAGAGAAAAAGAACATTTACAATTTCTTCCATATAACAACAAACATGCAGAAAATAGCTTTAAAATAGATGTCAGTTAGAATCCCATCCAGTATAAACCTATAATATGTAGCACTAAAATCCCCCCACCCTCATAGAACAGAACAACTCGTGTAAGGGTCTGATCCTGGGAATACTCACAGAAAAAGAAGGATTCCAGTGTTGGCAAGGGCAAAGGCTAGTCCCAGAATCCCACTGCCCATAATGGCGTTGCTTAGGTTAAAAACAGACATTCCTAAGGAGGTTGTTCCTGGAATCTGAACAAAGAAAGAGACATTCACACTGGATAAAACTGTTGCCAGAGAGTTCACCATGCCAAAACCTTTTAAAACACAACTAAGAGCCAACATGGAAACAAAATTCAAGCAATTCTCTCTCACTGGTCCAGTGATGTGTGTGTGTGTGTGTGTGTGTGTGTGTGTGTGTGTGTGTGTGTGTGTGTGTGTGTGTGTACCAACCCTGGGGCTTCAACTTAGGGCTGGGTGCTGTCCCTTAGCCTTTTCACTCAGGACCAGCATTTTACCATTTGAGCCACAGCTCCACTTCCAGATTTTTTTTTTTTTGGTGATTAATTGAATACAAGAGTCTCACAGACTTTCTTGCCTGGGCTGGCTTCAAACAGTGATCCTCAGATCTCAGCTTCCTGAGTAGCTAGGATTACAGGTGTTAGCCAGTAGCACCCATCTTTTAGTGATTCTTTTTTTTTTTTTTTTATGAGTCTCAGGAAGAAAAAAATATGTAGCATATAAGATATATCCTGGCGGATATAGATAGCTCTGCTTTTGATACTAGGCCATGTGAATTAAAAACACGTCCCAACCTATGTAAATAAAAAATAAGTACACATTTTTATAATGACACTTACATATTCATCACATTTCTTTTTTTCCAAATGGCTGTTTGTAAGACTTCTTCTACTTTCCCGATCAGAAATAAACTTGCTGCAAAGACATGCATAATACATTTAACCTCATGATAATGATTCAAAGCTTAACATCAAGACTAAAGTATTTATTACTTACCAAAACGTTGCATGTGAAATGTTACTGATTGGTTGCCTAAAAACTCATTAGGCTCCATTCAACACTTCCTCCATCTGTGTGTGTGTGTCCATGTATGTTTGCATGCACGTGTGTGTGTTTGTATGTACATACACATGTGGGTCAGAATAAGCAGTCCATATTTTTGTTTTATTAAATAAACTCTAAGTACTATAGAGAGGAGGAGCTTTTGCCTCAATCTTTTAGTGTGCATCTGTGTGTATATGTTTGTGCATGTGTGTGTGTGTATATAGATATAGATATATACCAGTCCTAGGACTTGAACTTAAGGCCTTGGTGTGTTCCTGAGTTTCTTTACTCAAGACTACTGCTCTACCACTTGAGTCACAGCTCTGCTTCCTGCCTCAGTCTTTTATTACGTGTGTGTGCCCATGTACTGGGCTTGAACACAGGGCCTGGGCACTATCTTTTAGCTTTTGGCTTTTAGCTCAAGTCTCATACCCATCACTTGAACCACAGCTCCACTTCTGGCTTTTTTGCTTGTTAATTGGAGATAAGAGTTTCAAAGACTTTCCTGCCAGGCTGGCTTCAAACCACTACCCTGAGATCTCTGCCTACTGAGCAGCTAGGAATTACAGGCATGAGCCTTTGGCACCTAGCACACTTCCTTATCTTTTAACACACACAATGCCTCTGAGCTCATCTTGGACCCACAGTGGTTGTGGGTGAGTGGGTGAGTGTCCTTTATCTCTCAACTCCTTCTTGAATGTACTTTCCCAACTTTAGCAATGCATAAGCTGAGCAGACTTCTTTTCTATTTTAGAATTAGGGAAAACTGGAATAGAGCAAGGGAAGGGATGACATTGTTCAAAAAGAAACGTATTCTTTACCTGACTTATATAACTGTAACCCCTCTGTATATTACCTTTGTAAAATAGGTTTGTTTTTTTTTAAAGAATTAGGGAGTAACTTAGGCTTCAGGGAAAATTTAGCTAAGGAAGAATGAATTAATTGGGTTGGAGGTGTAGCTCAAGTAGAAGAGCATTTATGATGCCCTGGGTTCAAATCCCAGTACCAGAGAAACACAGGCTGAAGTATTTCAAGAAAGCTTTATTGCTTCCACTTTTTTTTCTCTTTAGTCTTTAAATCTTGGTGTTGTATTGCTGTAAACTTTCATTTAAAAAAAAAAGATAAAACCCACCCTCTTTTGGAGGTGGAAAATTCCATTTAAAATAACTGGGTCAAGCTGCTTGATCACAAGTTTCTGTTGTCTCAGTGCTAAGAAGCACTGACCTCTGGCAATGAACTGACTTACATTTTCTCTCCTTTTTTTTTAATTGACTTAAAATGTGATATGGGAGAATGTGTTGGTGACAAGTAGTCTTGGCATGATGAAAGTATTATTTTAAAAGTTTTCAGTGGGTCAGGCTGTACCCTCGGAATAGAGTATGATCAGCCAGCAAGCAGCCAACTGCCCTGAAAACATCACAAAGTCAAACTAACCCTGCAATGGGTGGCTTTGTAACCTCAAATAAACATCTAGCTCATGCTTATACTCCTAGCAATTCAGAAGACTGTAATTTGAAGCTGGAAGTTTGAAGTCATCCCAGGCCAAAAAAAAAAGGTCTATGATACTCTTATCTCCAATTAACTAGCAAAAAGCAAGAAGTGGAGTTGTGGCAAGTGGTAGAGCACCAACCTGAAGGGGAAAAAGCCAAATAAGAGTATGAAACTCGGGCTGGGAAGGTGGCTCAGTGGTAGAGCGCTTGCCTTGCATACCTGAGGCCCTGGGTCCGATTCCTCAGCACCACATAAGAAAAAAGAAAAAAGCCGGAAGTGGCGTTGTGGCTCAAGTAGTAGAGCGCTAGCCTTGAGCTGAAGAGCTGAGGGACAGCTCCCAGGCCCAGAGTTCAGGCCCCATGACCAGACCCCCCCCCCAAAAAAAAGAGTATGAAACTCTAAGTTCAAGCCTCAGTATCTGCACAGAAACACACATACAAATGACGCAAGTATGAAATCCTGGCTCATAACAACAATAATCAGGCATAGACAGGAATGAGAACACCAGATAAATGAAAGAGTTTTATGGATACATTTACGATAATGTAGAATTAGTTGTACCAAGCCAGTTATTGGTGGCTTGTTTCTATAATCCTAGCTACTCAGGAGGCTGAGATCTGAGGATTGTGGTTCAAAGCCAGCATAGGCAGAAAAGTCTATGTGACTCTTACCTCTAATTAATCACCAAAAAGCTGGAAGTGGAGCTGTGGCTCCAGTGGTAGATTGCTAACCTTGAACAAAATAAGTCTCAGGGACAGCAGCCAGGCCCTGAAGTTCAAACCCCAGGACCAGCACACACACACAAAAAATTTTTTTTCACTGAATTTAAGATATCAATAAATGGCAATCATCTAAAACCCAGCACAGTACTATTGCTCCTTGGGGTGAGGAGGAGAGCTGCAGTTTTATTGACATAGAATCTTCCCATAATGAAGATGCTTATTCCTGCCAGATGCTTTACCAAGTGCTTTTCACGGGCTTTCTCATCTATTTTCATAATAATCCCATGTGGCTGGTACTACTTTAGCACCACTGCAGGCAAATTAAGTAACTTTTTTTTTTTTGGTGCCAGTATTGGGGCTCAAACTTGGGGCCTGAGTGCTATCCCTTAGCTTTTCCACTCAAGGTTGGCACTCTACCACTTGAGCCACACCTCCACTTCTAGCTTTTTGCTGGTTAATTGGAGATAAGAACCTCACAGACTTTCCTACCTGAGCTAGCTTCCAACCGTGATCCTCGGACCTCAGCCTCCCAAAGTAGCTAGGATGACAGGCATGAACCACCTGTGCTTGGCATCATGATAATCTAATAAAGACTCAAAAGATGGAAGGACAGTACATTAGACGTACCATCACATCTAGTGATGTGATGAGCCCTTTTCCTACCCGCTCTCCACCTCCCTCTTTCAATGTTTTTCTTCCTCATTCATGTACTATTTCTCCACTAGAGTCATTTGGGTCCAATTAGATGGAAAGTTTACACATAATGCTCATGCTGATGACATACATATTCGTCATTTTCACATGTTCATATGCACATTCAACTGAACCACATCTTTTTTTTTTTTTTTGGTCAGTTGTACGCCTTGAACTCAGGGCCTGAGCACTGTCCCTGAGCTCTTTTGCTCAAGGCTAGCACTTACCACTTTAAGCCACAGTTCCACTTCTGTTTTTCTGGTGATTAATGAGAGATAAGCGTCTCACCAACTTCCTTGCCTGGACTTTCCTGCCTGGGCTGGCTTTCAACTGTGATCCTCAGATCTTAGCCTCCTGAGTAGCTAGGATTACAGGTGTGAGCCATCAGCAACCCAATCCAAACCATATTTTGATTTAAAAAAAAAATAAATGTACCCAGCACCAGTGGCTCACACCTGTAATCTTAACTACTCAAGAAGCTGAGATCTGAGGATTGCATTTTGAAGCTAGCCTGGACAGAAAAATCCATGAGACTGTTATATCTAATTAATCACAAAAAAGGTAGAAGTAGAGCTGTGGCTCAAGTGATAGAGCAGTATCCTTCAGCAAATGAAGCTCAGAAACAGCACCCAGGCCCTGAGTTCAAGTCCCAGAACCAGCACAAAAAAAGGAAGGAAGGAAGGAAGGAAGGAAGAAAGAAAGAAAGAAAGAAAGAAAGAAAGAGTGTCCTGGTTGTAGTATAAAATCAGATATAGAAATGCAGTAAAATTCCAACAGACTGTCTAATTCATAAGCATTGAGCTTTTGAAAAGTTTAGGCTGGTGGGGGAGGGGAAGTAACATATTTATACATTTTTTTATTAGACTCAATTGAAAGATTTGAAAAGATGAATAAATTACTTTCCCAATTTGGTTCATTTGCTATGGCAGACTATGCCTGACAGATGTCCCATAAGAAATTCAAATTTCATCTTCAAATGGAGCATAACATTAGTAATGAATAATTCCAGAGAAGAACTGAAAATCAAAATAATCCAGAGAAGAACTGAAAATCAAAATAATGTTTTTAAGTGTCATTTCTTAGATTGGCTAGACATGTTGATGGACAAATACTCACCTATTTATCTGACCATTTTCTACTTCGGTGAAATCATTGGAATCATTGCTAACGTTATCATCTTCTGGCACAGTCATGTTTTGTAACTCAGTTAATTCGAGTCCACTTTTGAAATGCATCATGGTGACAGGGTTTTTGTAGCCAGAAAATGAGTCCAAATTGTTCGCGTTCTGAGTGGATTTAGAAGCAAATAGCAGCAAATAGATGTGGTTGATTCTGCTAAAAGAGAACAGAGTGAAAAATTATTCAACATAAGAAAAACACTATTAATTTTAAATGAATAACACAAATTGGGTGTTGGTGGCTCTTTCCTGTAATCCTAACTACTCAGGAGACTGAGATCTGAGGATCGACATTCAAAGCCAGCCCAGGTAAGAAAGTCTGGATAACTATTATCTTCAATTAATCAGCAAAAGGCCATAGAGGGGAACTGTGACTCAATAGAGCCTTAGCTTTGAGTGAAAACACTCAGAGACAGTGCCAAGTTTCTGAGTTTAAGCCCAGGCACTGAGTCCAAGCCCCATTGCTGGCACAAAAAAAGGAAGAAAAAAATGATTCAGTTATTTTACCATATCAGATCCTTGGACACATACAGCTGAACACAGATAACAAGGACACAAAACACTTCAGATGCATCAATCCCAGTTGAATAAAAACCACAAATCCTTCCTCAATAAATGGCATCACTGGAAGGATCAACTTCCAACCTGGTGGACTAGCAGGCAAAGAACAAATTTTATTTTGAAATTTAGCAAGCTGTTTAGCCATCCACTGCAAGAGATTAAGTCAATCTCTTTGATGAAATCACTGCGCGTCAGGGAATTAGGGAATTTAAAACTCATACCCAGGGATTGGGGCCGATCCACCTGCTACTCTTATTTCCTCATCAGAAATGAAAGATTACCAGAGTTCACATGTTCTCTGACATGGATAATTGTGGTTTTAAGTTTCATAGGGATCACCAACAGAATATAAGAAACAGTTCAGGGGCATGATGTCACTAAGCAAAAAGAAGATCGCACAGAACCAGATGCAACTTCAAAAGCAAGGACAAGCCAAGTGTGAAAGCTGGGCATGGTGGTACACTCTTGTAATCCCAGCAGTGAACCAAGGAGATTTCATGTTAGATGCCAGCCTGTGCTACCTACCAAGTTGGAGGTTAGTCTAGATAGCATAGTAAGATGTGCTTCAAAAATCAAAACACCTGTAATCCTACCTTCTCAGGAGGCTGAGATCTGAGGATTGTCATCAAAGCCAGCCCAGACAGGAAAGTCTGTGAGACTCTTATCTCCAATTAACCACCTAAAAACTGGAAATGGAGTTGTGGCTCAAAGTGGTAGAGCACTAGCTTTGAGCAAAAAAGTTCAGGGACAGTGCCCAGGCCATGAGTTCAAGCCCCTTGACAAAAAAAAAAAGGAAAGAATATTTATATGGCCACCCCACTGGGACACTTAAGTTTGGCAATGGGACTGTGATAAAACAACTCAGAAGTGCAATGAGAATTGTAACAAGTAATGTATGTATGTACTTAGGTTTGAACTCAGGGCCTGGGTGCTGCCCCTTGAGTCACAGCTCTGCTCCCTTTTTTTGAGGAGAAAGGAGGTTCATTGGAGATAGGAGTCTTATGAACTTTCTCTACCCTGGGCTGGCTTCAAACTTGGAGCCTCAGATCTCTAGAGTAGTATTACAAGCAATGAGCCACCAGTCCTTGGCTAAGAATTCTTTTGTATGGTTCGATTGGAAAATCTTCTTTGGTAACATTTTGATATTTTGTCTGATTGCCCAAATAAATTGGAGCAGAGGCATGAGTCAAGTGGTAGAGCTCTTGCATAGCACATAGGAGGCCCTGAGGTCAAATCTAGAACCACCAAAAACAACATAAAATATAAACAAACAAGAGAGATGATTGTAACCTTGGTAAGTGTCAGAACTTCAATGTGCCTCTTATTTATTGTTATTTTAAGGACTCTTAGAATGTACTGTAGAAAGATTCTTTTTTTTTTTTGGTCGGTCGTGGGGCCTGGGCACTGTCCCTCAGCTCTTCAGCTCAAGGCGAGCGCTCTACCACTTGAGCTACAGCGCCACTTCCGGTTTTCTGGTAGTTTATTGGAGATAGGAGTCTCACGGTCTCTCTTGCCCGGGCTGGCTTTGAACGGCGATCCTCAGATCTCAACCTCCTGAGTAGCTATGATTACAGGCGTGAGCCACCAGCGCCCGGCTGTAGAAAGATTCTTTTTTCAGGTATTCTCTTCTATCCACATTCAGGCCATACATTTTTTCCTTTTTCCTTCACGATTTCCTATCTAATGAAACCTCCTTGGTTTCAGGATTCTTTAAAACTTCTACAACACCAGTCATGGTGTTGTAGAACTCAAGCCAGTCATGGGGCTTGAATTTGGCCTGGGCATGGTCCCTGAGCATTTTTCGCTCAAAACTAGTCTCTATCACTTGACCCACAGCTCCACTTGCAGCTTTTTTGGTAGCTAATTGGAGAAAAGATTCTCACAGACTTTCCTGCCTGAGCTGGCTTTGAACTGAGATTCTCAGATTTCAGCCTTAGGAGCTAGGATAACAGGCATGCGCTGCTGATGCCCAGCTTGCAACGTATTTCTTTTCAGTACTAAGGGTCAAACTCAGGGCCTTATACATGCTGCTAGCCAAGTGTTCTACCACTGAGAGATAGTCTAGTCAAATTGTGAGTGTGTGTGTGTGTGTGAGAGAGAGTGAGAGAGACAGAGACAGAGACAGACAGAGACAGAGAGAGATAGAAAAAGAGAGAGAGAGAAAGAGAGAAAGTCCTGGGGCTTGAACTCAAGTCCTGGGCACTATCACTTTTTTGTGCTCAGGGCTAGTATTCTACCACTTGAGCCACAGCTCCACTTCCAGTTTTTTGGTGGTTATTTGGAGATAGAAATCTCACAGACTTTTCCTGCCTGACCAGGCTGGCTTCAAATCACGATCCTCAGATCTTAGTCTTCTGAGTAGCTAGAATTATAGGTGTGAGCCACCAGAACCTAGTGTGTGTATGTGTGTGTGTGCAAATACTGAGGCTTAAACTCAGGTCCTATCTCTGAGCTTTTGTTTTTTATTTATTTATTTTTTTGTATGTCGTGGGGCTTGAACTCTGGGCCTAAGCGCTATCCCTCAGTTCTTCAGCTTAAGGCTAGCAATCTACCACTTGAGCCACAGCACCATTTGCGGCTTTCTGGTGGTTTATTGGAGATAAGAGTCTCAGGGACTTTCCTGCCTGGACTGGCTTTGAACCTTGATCCTCAGATCTCAGCCTCCTGAGTAGATAGGATTATGGGAATAGGCCACCAGCACCTAGATGAGCTTTTATTTTTATTTTTATCAAGGCTATGGCTATACCACTTCAAATATAGCTCCAGATAATTGGACAAAAGAGTCTCACAGAGGGCTGGGAATGTGGCTTAGCAGTAGAGTGCTTGCTAGCATGCATGAAAAAAGCAAAGGTGGTGCTGTGGCTCAACCCCTTTATTTTTTAAATTAATATTGGGGAATTTAGATTCTTTTAAACCTACTTTTATCATAGTATATCATATTGGAGGTATTTTGAAGAAGAGAAGTGCATTTTTTAAAAAAATATAGTTGTTCCTTATTAATAAATTAATAAATAAGGTAGTTAGGTGCCAATGCCTCATGTCTGTAATCCCAGCTACTCAGGACAGTGATGTCTGAAGAGTGAGTTTCCAAGCTAGCTCAAGAAGACAAATGCAAGAGACTCTTCTCTCCAATTAGCCAGCAAAAAGCTGGAAGTAGAGTGTGACTCAACTGGTAGAGCAGCATCCTGCCATGAGCAAAAAGCTGAGTGAGCATGCAAGACCTTGAGTCCAAGCCCCAGTGCTGGCACCAAAGAAGATAAGGATAGTGAAAAGGACAGGAAGGGAAGGGAAGGGAAGAAGGAAGCAAAAGTAGGGAAGGAAGGAAAGAAAACGAGAATAAGGTGTTATAGAAAGTACAATTTCACAAATGGAGTAAAATGAACTTTAAAAAAAAGTCAAAGTCACCTGTTATTTCCACAAGCAAAGACGGTCACTGGGCACAAGGTCCTCTATTGGCCTCACAGAGTTCTTCAATGTACATAGATATGGTGCCTGGCACTTGGTAGACACTCAGTAAATATCTGTAAAACAAAAGAATGAGTCTGAATTTTAAAAGGCTGTGTACAGTTAAAAACACAAAAATGATCCCAGACATTGGGTTATTCTTTTCACCCATTTTTTCCTTCATTAAAACATCATTCTCTATCCTAAGTTCTGACAGTAACAATGGTGTTACACCATTACCAATAATGCTTGATTAACTGCTTGAGGGGGCCACAATCATTCTTGCTGTAACTAATCCAGATCATGCTTTCTGGAACTTCATGACTGCCTGGTGGGAAGAAGGACAGGTAGAGCTGAGATCTGAGATGAGACTTCTTAGAGCAAGGACCCCGTGACCAACCCATAGATGCAAGAAGTGCCGATGAATTTAAGAAAGAAAGGAGTACAGTTTCACTGGCAGATAAATAGTGATCAGACTATGCAATTAATTAAAAGGCAGACTGGGATCAATTGTGAAGATTTGATGTCAACTTCAGCACAGTTATTATCTATCTCTCAACACTTATAATAGGTTACAAATTACAGTTTATTCGGCATAGAACATGTCTGTTCCTTGCTATAGTCTTTTTTTTGGGGGGGAGGGGTCTGGTACTGTACTGTGGCTTAAACTTAGGACCTGGGAATTGTCCCTTGGCTTTTTCTGCTCAAGATTAACATTCTACAACATGAGCCACAGCTCCACTTCTGGCTTTTTAGTGGCTAATTGGGAGATATAGACTTTCCTGTCTGGGCTGGCCTTGAACCACAATCCTCAGGATCTCAGCTTCCTGAGTAGCTAAGATTATAGATGTGAGCCACCAGCTTTAGGCTAACTCCTCTTTTTCTTTCAGTTGCTACCTAATCAAAGCAAGTGTCTTACTTTTCTTAGTTTTCACTTTCTTGGAATCTGAGCCTCCCCCAGCTTGTCCTCAGTGCCTCTTCCTTGGCAGTCTCCGGACCTCCTAACCGCTCCCTTCCTCCTCCACCCTCATCTCGGGAGAACTCTTTTGGCTCCATATATTCCAGATCTTTTCCTTTTAGGGTTTCAAGCCTGTGGGGTTGGGTTTCATCTTACAGGTATCTCTCAGATCTTTCCCACCCTTTTTCATTTCCTAAATCTAGACTAAGATCTCCCTTCTAAATACTACTTGATAATGACAAAGCCACTTACTAGGTCACACGTTGGGGGTGGGGGGGTCTTTTTGGGTAAGGGGGACTGTTTTTTTCTTCTATGAAAAGAGAGAACAAGATGGGGAGATGGTCTCTCAGATTCCTTCCTGCTCAGAAAATTTTCCATAAGTTCTTTCCCAGCTCTGGCTGCCAGCCAACCTCTCCACCATTGCCTTGGTCGCTGCTTCCCTGAACCTGAACACATCACCTGATCTCATACGTCAGCTTTTCTATTTCTGTTAAAGACAATGTACATCCAAGGCTCAATCCTGCCATCCAAGCTACTCAGAAGGCTGAAATCTAAGGATTATGATTCAAAGCCAGACAGGGCAGAAAAGTCCATAAGATTTTTTTATTAAATATATATTTTTTGTAAAGATACTATACAGAGCGGTTCCAGAGGAAGGTAATGAGTACATTTCCTATCAAGCATTGTTACCCCCTCCTTTGTTTTTCTTCTACCATCCCTTCCCTCCCCACCTCCCCAACTCCTTCTTCCCTCCACCCACCTCCCAAAGTTGTAAAGTTCATTTTTAACATAGTGTCTTGTACATCTCATTGCTACAATGGATGAACCTGTATCCTTATTTCAGCATTTTGTTATTTCCCTTCCCCTCCCCAAATTAGGAAAAATGTAGATGCAGGGCACCGGAATCAAATCCAGTAAAAAACAGGGGTTGTACCATGGGAGAAGAACATACAAAAGAAACAAAAAAAATCACATAGCACATTATAAATACATTAAAAACAACATCAAGAAAGACAAAACCTCTTGTGTCCCTATCTTGGGGTTCATTTCACTTAACATCATCTTATATAATCACATATACACAGCTTTTGACCTTTTCTGCTTGTCCTCGACTAACCACCAAAAGAGCTGGAAGTGAATCCATGGCTCACGTGGTAAAGCCAAAAAAGCTAAGGGACAGTACTCAGCCCCTGTAGTCAAGCCCCAGTACCTGCACAATAAAGAAACAAACAAACATCTATGATCTGCCTGAAGAAAACATATTCCATGATCTAAGCACAAAATAAAAGGGAGAATGTGAAGCCAGAACAACCACCATTCATCATTTTCATTAAGTTTGTTACTTGATTTGTTTTCCACTTACTCTGTGCACACTGAGTTTCAGGTGAAAACACATTTAAAATCGTAAAGTCTTGTATAAATGGAAAAAGTATTTTTTTTATTGGTACCCTGGCCACTAAGCCTGGAATGTTGAAGAATTCTTGGCATGATGTCCACAAGCGCAGAGACACTTGTACTGAAGCTGGGGGTCTGAGCTAGGAACATTTTTGGCTGTTAGAAGTACAGCGTTGCTATAACCATGAAGTGAACACAAGCTAGGAATGCTGCTAAACACCCCCAACAAAGAACTATCTGGCCAGAAGGGCAGGAGGAAGAAAAGCCCAGTTACAGGAAGTTCTCTTCCATCTCTGCATGGGGCCTCGTGGGATGATGGGCTAACTTCCTAGATGGCCCATGGTGCCTCATTTGTCTATGAGCTCCCAGACCCTGCTCTTACTGTTCCCTGATTCTACTTCTGTTCAGATTCTTATAAGATCTTTTAAGGGTCTATTGTCAATATGCCCAACCTAGGAGATTGGGGAAGTAATATTTATATGTAGATGTTTTGAAATGACTCTGATTTAAGACAGAAACTCCAGAATCTAAGTCAACCTCTAACTCTAGATGTAGGAAGATAAACCACAGATGACATTAAAAAAAAACAAACAAAAAGGGGCTAAGAAGGTGGCTCAGAGGCAGAGTGCTTGCCTCACATGCATGAGGCCCTGGGTTCAATTCCTCAGCACCAAATAAACAGAAAAGGCCAGAGGTGGCACTGTGGCTCAAGTGGTAGAGCGCTAGCCTTGAGCTGAAGAGCTCATCCAGGCCTAGAGTTCAAGCCCCATGACTGACAAAAAACAAACAAACAAAAACTTGTGAGTTTATTAGTGTGAGGATTAATATTTTTTTTTCTTACCAACTGAAAATAGACTTAAATCATTGTTAAGGACTTAGGGAGTTGAAAAGAACTTTTGACTATTTTCACCTCTAAGAAAATTCTTTTTCTTTGAATGCATATGTTTTCATTCTAATGGTAGCTTTGACCTTTAATGATTGCTCTTGAATAAAAAGCAACAGATGGGGCTGGAGATTTAGCTTAGTGATATAGTGCTTGTTTACCATGCTCAATGCCCTGGGCTCAATCCCCAGTGCCATGATAAATAAATTAATTAGTTAATTAATTAATTAAAGCAACAGATGGGAATTTTGTTGGTTATCTTGTGTGTGTGTGTGTGTGTGTGTGTATGTGTGTGTGTGTGTGTGTGTGCGCCAGTATTAGATCCTAAACTCAGGGTCTAGGTGCTTGTCTATTAGTTTTTTCCCCTCAAAGCTGGCATTCTACCACTCGAGTCTCAGCTCACTTCCAGCTTTCTATTGGTTAATTGGAGATAAGACTCTCACAGACTTTCCTGGCCCAGCTGGCTTCTAACCTTGAACCTCAGATCTCAGCCTCCTGAGTAGGCTAGGGTTACAGGTGTGAGCCACCAGGACGTGAATGTTGATTAGTTTTTAAGCCCTTGATAGACTATGACAGTTAGCTCCTAAACAAAATATTCTAGGAAAACAAAAATACTGAGAAATTGAAAGTATCACAAGGTGGTGCATATAAAGAGAAGTCATGGAAAAAGAAACCTTTAAAATATACCTTTACTTGAAAAGTCAAAAGGCAATGAAAGACCTTATAATTCAAACTTGAATAACAGGTATAGGTATAGGCTTGAACACTTCCTTTCTTCTGAGTCCCAAGAAGCCTGGGTTAACTGAGGCTGCCTCACAGATCTCTCAGTTCTAAAGTCCTCTGATATTAGACTTTGTTAAAGGTTCCCTTCAACAATCAGGAAATGGCGTATAGATGCATCTCTTTGAGTAGTTGACTTAGAAGACTAGTAGTCTTCTGTTCAAACTAGACATAGGAATTACCTGAGGTGCTTTAAAAAAAAAAGGAAAAAACTGTAAGAGGAAGGCACCCACATAAGTTTCTGACTTAATGAATCTGGGATAGGATCCAGGGATGGGTATTTTAAATGCTCTCCAGGGAATCCAAAAGTACAACCAACCTTAAGATCTACAGATTTCGATTAAAGGTTAAGACTGAGGGTGGCAGTGCCCAGATAGGCAAGGTCAACGAGCAAAAATGAAAGGGCATAAGAAAATAGAGAAATCAATCGGGAGGATGGGAAGGGATGGGAAGGGGAAACAAAGGAGGAGGCTACAATGCTTGATAAGAAATGTACTCATTATCTTGCCCATATAATTGTAACCCCTCTGTACAGTATTTTCACACTAAAAAATAAATAAAAATTTAAAAAAAAGAAAATGGAGAAATCATATCCCATCTAGTCCTCTCCAGTGAGCAATATTAATAAGCCAGATCTTGTCATTGGTCTTTTGTTGTTTTCTTAAAAATCAAGAAATGCTGGGCTGGGAAGGTGGCTCAGTGGTAGAGAGCTTGCCTTGCATGCCTGAGGCCCTGGGT